TTTCCCCCAATTTATAGATATATAATCAAAATAAGAAGAAGTATGTAGGAAGGGCAAAATAAGAGAGATAAACCTTCAGTGGGACAAGAGTTCAGGGAAGAAGAGGTTGGTCAGCCAAAGAAGACTTACAGGGGTGCTGACACGAGCAGGGCCACGGAGCACTGGGGGACAGGGTACACAGAGCAGAAGGACATTCCAGACAAAGGGCAGAGTGGGGGGAGGGGGCGAAGGGAGGAGCTCGGCATGAGGACCCTGCGGTCCCGAGCGTGCAGTTTATATCAGGAAAAGAGAAGTGATTCGAGTGCATGAGCTGGAAGACCTATTCACAAAATAATAGTTTAAGATTAAGGTGACAGCATCAAAGCTGTGTTCCTGCGGCCACCAATCATCTTTCACGCTTAGCCCCCACAGTTTGCATTTCTGCATCACAGTGAAGTTGTCCACATAGGAAAAGTGAGTTGCAAAGAGATGATGAAACCTGCCCTTTCAGATAGTAGTCAATGAGCAGCATGATACGCGTGCTCATCTTCCAGCCCACTTGGAAAAACAAATTGTTGATTTTAATCTCTGTTATTACTGTGGAAAAAAAAAGCCCACTGTACAATGGTGCTTTTTTTAATGCCTTCCATCCTATCTCTAGACCCCTCCTTTTAGCAGCTGCAGGTGAATTTTAATTCACTAATGACTGTTTTGGGGGAAAACCCCTCAAAAGTATAACAGAGGAAATAATGAATTTTGAGCGCAACATTTTTCTCTCCTCAAATTTAAATTAAAAACTGCAGTAGCACCGATGAGCCCCCAAAGCTGAGTTTGGCCTGCGCACGACTGGATGTGGCTGCTCTTTAGTGAGCGGAGAGAGACGCGTACCTGTCATAATCCATGACTGCAATGGAGAGGCTGACTTGGTCCACGTTCTCTGGAGGGATGTCAAAAATAATAGCCTCATTGTACACGGGATTTAGAGTGTTTTTCTTTGTCGTCGTTTTCCTCTTTTTTAATCTTCGGCCCTCACACATCAGAGACACTTTGACATAAGGATCTAGGAGTTAGAAGGCAGCTTTGTTAAAATGACGGTCACAGCAAAAGTGTAGATAAAACTGGTGTTAATTTTTGTGAAATAAGAAAAGTGGTTATTTTAGCCATTTGGTAGTAATGGCTTTAAATTCAAATGACTTATTTTAGAGGCAGTAGATTCTCTAAGACTTCTTAGATTTTAAATGTAAGCAATTTCTCTTAGATCAACGAAAAAAAGAATTCACTTGATTTCACTGGGTTTTTTTTTAGAGACAGAATCTAGCTTTATTGCCCTCAGTAGAGTGCCATTGCGTCACAGCTCACAGCCACCTCCAGCTCTTGGGCTTAGGCAATTCTCTGAGTAGTCGCTGGGACTACAGGCGCCCGCCACAACGCCTGGCTATTTTTTGTTGCAGTTTGGCCAGAGCCAGGTTCAAACCCACCACCTTCCGTATCTGGGGCCAGCACCCTACCCACTGAGCCACAGGCACTGCCCCTTGATTTCACTGTTTTTAAAACAAAAGAGAAATCCCTCTAGTTTACCAAGAGCCAGTCCAGAACTGTAAAGCATCTTTTAGCCACAGTATTTGAGGACACATTTTGATAGAAGTGATGTATAGGGAACATAAGCCTAACATGTAAGAATAATTGCAACACGGTTAGTGTCCTGAATGAGATGGAAGGAAAAGGCGTGTGAAAGACTTAGCAACATTGTGTCTAGACTCAGGTCAGTATCATCACCATAGCAGAAATTAGAAAGCTAACACTAAATTAACACTAATTAACACTAAATTAAACTGGAAGTTTTCTTTGGTTCCTGGAAAAGGTACTAAATTTAGAAGCAGGATTTTTATCATAGTGTTGCTGCTTGAGAAAGAGCTCAGATTGGGGAAATGATGCCTACAAAGAGTTTATGGCATACACAGAAGTGTATGTTTAAAAATGGGCAATACTTTGTTTAATGTTGGTCACAAAAAAGGGTCCTCAGGTGACATTGTCTATACGATGTCAATTACAAGATAAAAATTTAGTTGTGCTTTGTTTATGGGTCAAAAAGATCAGATAATTGTTAACGAATTCTGCTTCAGATGACTTGATTCCTATACTCTTACCCCTACCATCTTAAAAAAACCCTGCTAGAATATTATATAAAATTATACAATATTTCTAACAAGCCTTATTTTCTGTCTTTTTCTTCAAAGCAGGTATGGCTTTGGGAGGGAGTGTTGGCATTGGGCTGAGTTAGATCTTTAAAACAGAGTCTGCTCTGTCTTTATCTTTTGTTTTGTTTTGTTTTTATTTTTATTTTTTTATTCTGGCCATCCCCCAATTCTCACATCACCCTCCCCCTGTTTCTCTATTTTCATAGTAAGAAATTTTATTTCCTTAGAATAAACCCCCAAATCATGGCAGCTGAGCAGTTGAATCCTTCTTAAACTCTAGAAAAAAATGTATCTGTTTATTTCAAAAGCATTTCCATCAAGGAATAAAAAGGTATTTTCTGGCTGGAAATAGGTATGTAGAGGATATCAAGGCAACATAGTAATGTCAGTGTCTGTTTCCCACTTGTTTTTGATTTTTTTTATTATAGTAATAGGAAGTACGTTCTAAGGAGGAAGCTCGCTTCTGTGATACACTTTTGTGCTTGTACTCTGGTTTCTCTTCAGATCACACAAATCTTTCCCCTTTAACTATTGTGCTCGACCTGCAGGCCTGGCCCTTCCCTTCAGTCATGGACACGAGGCAGGGATCACATCTCGCTACATTCTTCTGCTTTTGAGAAGGAAATTTACCAGCTCCTTGATACACAAGCCTGTTGGCAAGGATTAATGAGGTGGTGCTCGGAAACCATGTGCTCCTCCGATGAAAAGCTTTGCATGAATAAAAAGTAATTTTGCACTTAATTGCAACTTTGATGCTGTTTGCTTGTCTCAAAATCTGACGTCTTTTCATACGTGGCCAGAAAGAGTAGAATACACAGTAATTTTCAGAGTAGACTGTCTGAAGTTCTTCAACAACATTTATGAACCCCAGACTTTTTTTTCTTTATCAAAATTAGTGTAGAATTTACTTGCTGTTGGTGTGTCTACCTTTATATACTATGTGCTATGAACTTTAAAAAAATGAACATCATGACATAGTTCAAAAATCAGGACGACAGCGATACAATAAGTTCCCCCTTTCCTATTTGTCTCCAGCCCTTTTTACCCATTAGTTTTTACGTGTCACTCCAGCATTTCTTTACGCAAATATTTAGCAATATGAATATATGTTCTCAAATTCCCCATTCTTACATGGAAGAGTGTGTAACATGCACGTTTATTTTTGTACCTCCTTTTAAAACCACCTTTATATTCAATAGCCATATGTAATTTTAGATGCATGGAATATTTTATTGGAAAATGTGCCCTTGACTTTCTGGCCAACTGTATACGTACCTGATGAACCAGTGATATCCATCGCCTTCAGATTTCTGCATTTGATAACTGTCAGTGTCATACGCCCAGCCGTCGGCAGATAACAAAGGGAAAACATGATTTCGCCCAGGTCTATACTTTCCTAGAAAGGCAATCAATAACACGAGCAATTTCAACGCCAAGTAGCGAAAACAAAATATTAGGAAGATGCTGAATGGAAGATCACTCTCATAGAACATTGGAATGTCATTTTAAGTTGTTTTATGGAAGATACAGATAACATTGCCCAGAAGCTGCTCTGAACGCAGTAAGAAGAAGAGGAGCACAGCTGCTTACTTGATATCTCAAGAATCTCGAACTTAACACAGTCAGAATGAGACCCTGGATTCCACCCCTTCCCCATCGTTTTCCTCATTTCCCTAAACCAATTCCTCTAGCAGTGTCTCCACAATCAGCAAATGGCACCCCAGTTCACCAAGAGACTGAAGCCAAAAACCTAGGAGTCACTTTTATCCTCTTCCTCTCGCCTATGTCCAACTTATGGGCAAGTCTCAACAAGACTGTCTATAAAATGTATCTAGAATCAGAGACTTTCGTTTCAGTTCTACTGAAAGCCACCATCACCTCTTGCCAGGATTACTTCACGAGCCTCCAAAACTGATCTCTTCTGGAAGTTAGTCTTTACACAGCAGTCGAAGTGATCCTTATGACATGCAAATCAAATTATATCCATCCCCTGCTGAAAATTAAGGTTTTATAACTATGTTGGGATAAAAGTCAAACTCTGGGATATAAGTAGAGTAACTATAAGTCCTGGTGTTCCAGAACTTATTGTTAATATAATTGTATAGTTAAAATTCCTGGTTTATATCTGTTGTCTGGCGTCATTATGAAGAATACCTGTTTCTACATTTAAACGTTTTTCCTTAAATGCGGACAATGTATTAGAAGGTCCTCTACATAAGGCCCAAGGTCATCTGGACCCTGCCCTCCTCTCTCATTTTATCTTTAGCCTCTGCTCCTCGGCTCTGAGGCTGACACAACCCCACCCCCTGCCTTTTTTTCTTATTCCCATGAAGTTTGCTCTACTTTGGGGGCTTTGTGCAATCTTTTCCCTTGACTGGTACCTTTTTCTGTTATATCGTCTGGCTGACTTCTCACCACTCAGGCATCTCTTCAGTGAGGCCCCCCCCAGTCGTGTGCCTCACTCTAAGGAAGCACCCCCTTCCTAATCCGACACCCAACTCACCCTCAGATCCTTCACAGTATTTTCAGAGCACGTATTATTGTCTGATATTACCTTTTAAATTCATTTCTCTTGTTTCCCTGACTCCCATACAGAACCCCCAGGACAGCAGGGTTCTTGGCTGCCTTCATTTCTACATCCCACTGAAGTACTTGGTGGACAGCTGGTTGTCAGTACACAAGTTTGGAAAAAAATGAATAAACTATTTAACTAATCTGGATAAAACCCGACCTGTTTTGTTTCATTTATAAAGCGGAACTATCCGTTGTACCTGAGATAGATTTGTATACTGTGTTTGACTGTGCAGATGGCAGGAAAATGAAAATGAATGTGGAAAATGGACAATTTCAAATGCCTCTCAAAGAGTTGTTGTCCTTAATTATTAAACTCTACTACTCCTAGACCACAAATAAAGAAATGAGAATCGCAAATATTAGAGTTGGAGCAGTAAGAGCAAGTCCAACATATGTTAACAGTTCATCAGGAAGAATCTTGAAGAACATATTTCTGTGAACCAGCACCTCATTTCTCCCAGGATTAAACATACCACAAATTCCATTCTCAAACGCACTAATTAATCTGGCTGAACATTCACACAGCAGTAGGAAGAAGTCAGTTTTTCTTCAACACCTAACAATTATCCAGCATTATTTGCTAGACGCAGTGGGAGGTGGAGCAGATACCAAGATGAACACGGCATGGTTTTGCCTTTGTAGATCTCATTTGAGAAGGGAGAGACTTGGCTATAAGGGGCTAAGAAAATAAGTCTGAATCCCATTGATGTCATGATTCTCTCTTGTTTCTCTTTTTATTTCTTTTTCCAAATGTTTCTATGAGTTCGGTATCTGGGCTGAAATTTTCTGTCTGACAGCCTTCTTCCTTTCTCTCATGGGGTATTTCTCTTTTCAGTTACTGTTAACACGTGGTAGCATATTTTTGCTGCCAGCCAGTCAAGTTAAGGGATCTCTCTATGAACGCAGACCATGATACACAAGTTCCACCACAAAACTCGATAGGTGTGGTGATGGAGAAGCCAGGAAAAAAAAAAAAAACAACAGGAGATGTGATTTCAGGAACAAAACGCTTAAAATTCAACAGGAAATTCACCACAGGAAAACAGAAAAAAGTGCACAGAGAAAATCATCTGAAGGGCTTAACAAACCAAATTTTCACATGTGACTGGTAGGGTTTTACTTCTGCACATTAAATAATCTGTGGAAGTAATTTTTCTGCTTCTCTAGATAGATGCCCGCCGGCTGGAACAAGGCAAGTTCACCACATTGTCCCCATCTCTCAAAGACCTTTTCTACGGACTCAGTTGCAGCACACTTTTGACCATGTGTTATTGACCAGTATTTGATAAATAGAGAGAAGTTAAACTGAAGAGGTGAGCAAAGCACTAGCCCCCGTAAGCAGCATGGAGAGTCATGGAGGGTCCCCTTCTGGGAGCTCTGCGTTCCAAGCTGGTTTGCTTCATGCCTACAGTGGTGGTGAGACCTCTATTTAAATAGTCAAACTCCATACAGTGAGGAGTGGTAAGGAAACTAAAATGAACTGAGTGGTAAAAATTAACATAGGGTATGCACATGTGGTAACTACACACAAGTTAAAGTCTTCATTCGCCTCAGTTTCTCTTTCAGGAAATATGAACATGAAAGAATAGAGGGCCTGTCCACAGCAGAGTGGTCTTTAAGAATCCCCCTGGGCTGTCCAGTGACCACGGTGATGCTCAGCAGTGAAGGATGGAGCACTTTTTCTAGGACGAGTTTGCAAACTTAATCATCAGGCCGCGTATGACTGAGGCTCTGATAGCTATTCCAGAAAAAAGAGTTCCAGAATTGCTCTAAACAGTGGACTGGGGAGAGGGAGGGGAGGGGAGGAAGGAGGGTGGGTGGAGGGAGGGTGATTGGTGGGATCAGGCCTCTGGTTCATCCTCTAAGGGTACATGTGAATCTTTCTAAATGTAGAACATAAATGTCTTTAACACAATAACTAAGAAAAAGACATGAAGGCTGTGTTAACCAGTTGGATGAAAGTATTTCAAATTGTATACAGAAACAGTACACTGGACCCCATGATAGTATTAATGTACACTGCTATGATTTAATAAAAAAATAAATAAAATATTAAAAAAAAATAAAGGGTGGACTAGATGCTGGTGTTGATGTCCAGTTTCCAAAGGCAATACGTTGAAGGGGACTGTGGTGATATTTAAACAATGAGGTAGGTGGCAAGTTTTCTAGGATGAGTTCCAACCTTGTATAATTATACACTAATGTTCTTTTATATAAGAAGTCTACATCCTTCTTATTCAACACTCCTTTGCTTTAGACAGAATTTTAGCAAAAAAAAAAATTGAGTTGGTGTATCAGTCTGTGGCAGGTCAAAAGTCACATCAAATGTGGAGATGAGGAAATTCATAGCAGTCAGTCTAATGAAAACTGCAAGGAAGAATAGCTACAAAGACACAAAATAGATAAAAAAAGAGACAAATTCTCTGCAAAGAATAGAAAGCTCACGTGAATTGTATGCAGTATTAAGGGGAGCTCACCTTAATCATGCCTCAGCAACTCCACACTATACTACTGACTTGAATAGCAATTAATAATGACAAGGATGGCCTGGAGCCACCAAGATAAGGAAATATATCTTATATGTTCTATTTGAGAAAGTAGATAAGTGCACACTATTTTCCAAGTTTTATTCAAAATGTTTGAAGGGGGAATTTTGGCTTAACATGAGGAAGGCTTTGAATTTATAACAACGGTATTTGTGTGTAATCCCATTTTCTAAAATTTTATATAAATATGAGTTTTCCATATTAACCTTTGAACATTTTTGTACTGGGGTGAGGATGACCATTTAAAAGCCTATCATAAAGTCTGGGATATAGTGTTCCTTAAAATTCCTTTCAGCTGAGGGAAGACCTTTATCCTATTCTCATACACACTAATTTATTGGACTGAACACTCACGGTGGCAATCTTCTGAGTCCCTGCTTGGAAATGGACTTCTGAGAAAAAGGCTAACAGTAAATCTGGGGCTGTGGGTACACATTTTATCTCCTCATCCTGACTCCACCGAAACAGAGCTGGGTAGATAAAGACAATTTTCTGATGATTGGCCATAGTCGACCTCACAGTCACAGTTGTCAAGTTTTTCCCACACACTCTTTCTCCAAAGTAATAACAAAATTCACTGGAAGAATAAATGTGCATGCACATATTTGCCTCGCACATCCTATTTTTGGACAAATTTAAATAAGAGTAAAATCAAGTGAGGGTAACAACAAGTGAGTGTAAGAGAGGGAGAGGAGATAGATGAAAGGCTCTGTATCTGGAGGGTTTAAGAACCGAGGGGCACATTCCTGGTGAATTATTCCATTGGGGTGGTGAGATTTCACAGGGAAGAAGAGGAGCAATGTTGTACGTGAGTACTGCGATAAATACTCAGAAATAAGAACGGGTAGTTTGTATTCAGAAATACGGAGCTTGATGACATGTTAGAGGAGTTTTACACTTGATGTGACTATTGGATGTCTTCACTGGACAAAAGGAATCCAACAATATTGGTGACATGAAAGAGTGGAAGCGTGCTAGAGTGGAAAAGGTATAGGTTCTTAAGTCTAAAAACAGGGTTAAAATCCTAAATCTTCCATGTACTAGTTCCTAAGAACACGGCAAAGATGCCTGACCTCCCTGAGTTTGAATTTAATAGCAAGTAAAATGGGCATAAGCACATCTACCTTGTGAAGTAAGTGTCATGCGTGTATGCTGCCTGGTGTGAACTGTCAAAAATCAGTAATGACATCAATGAAAGTAATATCTGAAAAATATTTCTTTATCGTGAGTAGGCTAGATTAGGATAAGAAAGACAGAAGAGAGAGGCTATTGAAAT